AGTCATGCAAATGTTTTCTTGTGCTTTCTTACTGCCAGGAAACTTGTAAGCACTTTGCCAAAGTCTCTCTTCTTTTGAAGCTGAGTATGTTACTCCTACTTGAATTCTTTCATATCATTCTTAAGAAGCCTTCTCCCATAATTCACATCAGCCCTTCAAATGTTTGCAAATTTGTCATCTGTAGTTATTGCTTTGCCAAGCTATTAACTGTTCTGAATTAATTTTCTTATAAGTCAGTCTCACCATTTCCCTGATCATTTTGCTGCTGTTCTTTTTGAATACCTCTCAATTTGTCATTGTGAATGCGTCTAAGGCAAAGGCATTATCACTTTGCTAAGTTTATAACACATCCAAGTTTCTCAGGCACGTTCCCTGCGTAAATACACTTCAGTGTAATCCTGCAAATGCATGCTATTTTTTTCTGGCTTCATATACTTGAGGTTAAGATTGTACATGAAAGCTGTCAAAACTAAGGAGATCCAGCATGTGAAGTGGTGTGCAATAGCATGGATAGTCCTTCTGCAGGGCTGCTTATGAGACCACTGTCTGGGACAGGCTCTGGCACATGCTGCACCCATCTCCAGAAACTCCCCCTCAGTGGTTTGTTTTGATGCCACCAGTCCCACCCTTCAGCTGACTCCTTAGGCACGGTCAAGACTGAGGTTAAGGGAAGCAGGTGGAGGTTGGAAAAATGGCATATTGCTTCTCATATGGCACAAGCGATCCACTACAAGTACCGTGTTGTGTCCACAGTGTCGTTAGTGTCGTGACTGGTGCAACAAACCCTTGGGCTGGTGGATTAACTTCTGCTGGCTTCTGTGTGAACTTGCAGACAGAAGAGACAGGGGTGTTCATTCTGCAGGGACATAAAGTAGTTGCTTCATTTAACCAGCTAGTTTTCCTATCTCTCCATTGGTAAGTCAGGTTCCACTCAAACTCTGAAACACAGGTTGGATGAGTGTTCACTGTCCCCAACAAGAGTCAACTGTATTTAATGCAGAGCATGCTGGATCAGCTACCTTCTGAATAGCAGGTTACAAATGTGCATGGCTTGAGGCAAAAGATACACAGTGGTAAACTTCCTCCCAGATGTGGCTGCAGGAAGGAAGCTCTGCTCAGGACAATGCTTGCCGTCAGTGCAACAAAGTAGAAAGTGGAACAGTAATGGAGAAAGCAGAAAATTATATGAGACTTCAAGTAACACCGGTATATTTAGCCAGGACTGTACCTGCCTTTTTGTAGGACAAGGCTGTAAGTAGAAACACTGAAGGCATCCCATTCTCACAGCTAAATCTTGTTTGATTTTTAAATAAAATATTCAGAATATACTCAAAAGTTAACTGCTGAAATGCATACTGTTTCCTTTCTGCAGCATGATTAATATTTTCTTCTGTCCTGCTTCCAGTAAAATTGCATTGCATCACAACACTGAAGGATAAGTAGATTTCCAACTCCCCCTCAGCAGCAGCGTCAGTTTTTAATCCACATACAGCATTTTAGAAACCACTGAAATGAGCTCTTTATGCTTCATGACTGTGAAGACTTTAATGTCAGCTTATGCATCAGGCAATGCTGAAGCATGTTATAACATGTGAAAAGCCACAGCAACCTCCAAAGAAATTCTTCCTCAAGAGACAGATAAGGAATGTATTTAGCCCAACCTGAGGGGAAAAAGTCCTTTGCAGAGCAGAACCTGGCTGAAATAGAAGAGCTCCTGAGACAAGAGTTGACTGTCGCGGTCCTATAGAGGTTTGGTGTGTCATTCCTCTCAAGGGTAAAGTTGAGCATCTTGCCTTGTGTCTCTTCTCTCAGCATTTGTGGGTTTGCATGAGGGAATATGTTTAGCAGTATAAGCTGTAAATTTCAGGCTCATTTCCCAGGAGATTCCTGGTCTATTAGAGTGTATTAACACAAAGGGTGGAGATCTGTCCTCAGCAGAAGCTCCTTTAATTCAAAATGCAGCAGAGTGGAGTCAGTTGCATGCCAAGAGAAGCCTTGTCTTTTTCTTCTTTCTGTAACATGACTGTGCTCCTCAGATGTCTATTCTCCAGCCAGTTCTCCTGTTCTGGTCCAAATCTGAAGTGTCCCAGTCTTTGCGACCAAGTCTGAAGTGGGGTCCTTGAGTGGGGTCCTTGTATAACCCTGTATCCCTGCTTCATCAGAGCTACATCAAGCTCTCTGGCTGCACTGCAGCTGCAGATTTCTCAGTACTTGGATACTCTTCTGGAATAAACCCTGTAGTTCCTCAAGCTTTGATCAGTTCTGCCAGTTAGGTTGTTTGCAAATATGCCAATGACCACACTCTGAGAACTGTTTTCATAAGACTTGCAAGTTATTGCCTATTGCAACTGGAGGGTGAGCCTGTATAAACAGAGACCTGCTTACTGCAGTATTTTTGTTTCTTTAACACTCTCTGGCATTAAGTGAAAGTTAGCATACCTGACTAAAGCAGGCACTTTTGGCTAATTGGATTTGGAGTGACCTGACGGGCTGTCACGCC